AAAGAAAGAAAGAAAGGAAGTAAGGAAGGAAGGAAGGAAGGAAGGAAGAAAGAAGAGAACACATGGAAATACTGAAAAAGAAGAAATGAGATTGGTTGGATCCAATAAAAGTACACAACATCAGAACTGAATTAAGTTGCAACTGATGACAAAAGAAACTTTTTCTTACCTTACCTCCTCATTACCTTTTTATCTTTCCTTTTTCCTTCCTTCTCATTCTCCTATTTCTAACTTTCCCCCTTCTATTTCTCTCTCTCTCTCTCTCTCTCTCTCTCTCTCTCTCTCTCATTTTTTTTTTTGATGGAGGGTTCAAATACGCCAGTCTCTCTTTGGTTGATGTTTGAAACACTTATTGATGCTTCGGGATCTGAAGACAATTCTTCTTTGGCCTTTTTGTTTTGCATTGTATTTTTTCTTTCTTTCCGTCTTTCTTTATCCTCTTTGTTTTCTGTTTGTTTTTGTCTCTTTGCTTCGTCTATGGTTTCATTTTGTTACGTTCTATTTTATCATTCCCCGACTTCGAAGGAAGCAAGCCCGACCGCCCGTCCGACCGCCCGACCGCCCGTCCGACCGACCGACCGACCGACCGCCCGCCCGACCGACGTCGTTTTTCTTCGCTTTGTTGTTTCTATTCATTTTATTCGCCTTTAATTATTTTTATATAGATTTTTTTTTCTATATTTGCTTTTTTTTCAATTTGTTAAACTCTTGCTTTTTTTTTTAACCCCATATTTATTGTTGCATTTTTGACCACATTTTTATATTAACTTCTGTTTGTCCTACTCCCCGGAATTACGATTTGCTGATATAGTTCAGTGGTAACAACGGTGTACGTAAAAACTATCTTGCTACAGACGTTAACTAATCTAACTTTAATGCGGAACAAGACCAAATCTGGAGAGATTAGTGCAAGTAAAGACAGCTGAATTGTGTTTTAAGCCAGACTTTTCAGTAGTATAGATTTGCATGCCTATCGTAGAAAGAATCCGTATTTGAAATTCGGTGTTTTTTCCCGAGTTCTAACTTTAACCAGAAACACCTTTCAGAACAAGCAACTGTCTCAACCACCAAGTAGGCTCTTATATTGTTTTCTGTTTTATGCGCAGTATAAAATGAATAATCTAGTAAAATATTAAATGGCGCTTTAAAATATGTACCATGACTAGAAATAAACTTTTTTTCAATTTTTGTTCATATTGCTATAAAAATAGCTTTAAAAATTAAAAATTAATGGCTATAAAAAAAAATATTAAATTTTATAAAAGTTAATAAAAGGTCCAGTTGTGCCATGTAAATTCATTATAAATTGATCCCCCCTACAGAAGTCTAAACAGGTATGCTCTTACGATGTGATTTCATAAAATATAGTCCTGGGTATGACGATAAACTACATCCGGTAGCAAGGCCTCTGATCGGGTGATTGGCGGTTTTGATGGGCATGGAACCATCTTTTACTTGCTTTTGTTCCCAGGTCCACCCTGAACCGGGGTGGCAGCACCTGTTAGGGTCCCAGCTATGAACAAATAGCAAAACACTATAAAAGTATAAAAATACATTCTCATAGTAGAAATAGCACATATATCTATTTATACTAAAATAGCCAACAATACATTTTACCTGTAGTTGAATGCATAGAATTACGTTCAAATTAGATTTCGGCATTAAATAACCCATAGAGATGTTGATATGCCGCCAAACAGAAATAATCAGCATTTCATAAAATATTTTTAATTCGCAATCTGGAGTATAAATAGATAGTAAACGATTGATAGCTTAGATGTGGTACAAGGTCGAAAACATGGAGCAGTTAGCGAAGATCGAACTCACCTAATTGATCTTGTGAAAAAAAAAGTTTGCTAACTATTACACGCCCCCACAAAAGTGCCTCAAGCGACGATAATATATGAAAAGAAAAATCTAGATTATGAATTTCAATTCTTTTCTGTTTTTTTTTTTTTTGTTTATTTCGTTCTTTTTAACATTTTAAGAAATCACACCTTGTTTTGAGCATACTTTGTTTTGGCTTCCGTACTGGGATCAATTTTTAATTAATTTACTAAGCAAACTGGACCTCCACTTCCATTAAATCTTTTAAAATTTAATTTTAAAAAACGCTAACATGACATAACATCACGAGTCCCGAAACGGATCGTATGGACATCATTGTACAGTAGCCGCAGTAGAAGTGATGTGTCTTGGGCAAGATAGCCTGACAGAGTCCAAACCTCTCCAATCTGGTTTGAATTCAGTATCCTTCTCCTAGATTATCCTAAAACAAAGTCTGTCCTACTATTTAACCCATAGATGGCAAGGAGATGAGATGGACTCGTACCTTTCCCAAGGATATTATCACGTAATCGAATGTAATGAACTCGACTGGAATTCAAACTCGGTTCTCTGATTCCTCAATCCGAGCCACAATCTATCACTCTACCGTATAACATAACCTCACATAAAAAAAAACATTAAATGGCAACTACGCTCAATGCTTTTATAGCTGCATGTAAACATTTTCGTCTGCTTGATTTATGGTGAATTCATCGTGACGTGAGTATTGTGCATTTTACAAGTACAAGAATACTCATCTGCAAAAAAAAAAAAATACGGCGCATTTTGTACTGGTTTAACCAGTCGGTATTTGCTATCAGGCAAATTTAGAGTTGATATGAGTTGACATGAAACATGTAACTAGGTACACGTGGCGAGTAATTGCGCTTAACCCACCGACACTATTGGTCGGTGTTCGAGCTGTAGGTAAAAGTAGTTGATGTTGATTTTCAAGGCCGTCATTTTTGCCTTCCATCATTCTAACCTCTAAGAGAGTAACTCACTGAGCCTTCGTGGTTTCATATTTTCCACTGACATGAAAGGGAATGATTTTATTGAATCATTTGCTAATTTTGCTGCTAGGAATGTCGGTCCACTACGTCGTGCTAGATAAGTTGTCTCGCTAGAATATAACTTGAGCATTTAGGAGTCTGGCATTCGTCTGTGCATCGAATATTGCTACCACATCTGGTCTGGTGATTTTGCTATATTCTACGAAGAATATGCAATATTATCGGTCCTTACCTGGCATCTCAGTATCAGTCACTTTCGTATAGTAACACTTTCGTAACATAACTTTACTGTGCCTGTTTTATAAATATTTTACGATTTTGTTTTCCTCTTTGGTTCCTCGACTTTACGAATTTAAGCGCGGTACAAGATTAGCAGTTAGGTCTCACTCATTTTTCTTTTGTGGAACTTTCTTCCTGCTTACTGCTTTCCTGTCGCACACAATCTTCAAAAATGTTAATGGAATGCTAATAATCATCTTTTGTCTCCTTGAATCCTGTTCTGTTACTTCCCGTTGTGTTTCTTTTACCCTCAGTAATCTCTTGCGTCTTAGTTGCTTTATAGGCTTGCGTGGGATGGTATGATTCAAATCATTCCAACCCAACTTGAAAAATTGGTGCAACACAATCTTATCCCTATTCGTTAGCATTCGACCATTCAGTGAACTAAGTTTGATAAAAAAAAAACCTCTATAATTTGTTAACAACAAATACTTTTTCACACCCAACCCAGTTCTGCGGAATCAGAATCAACGTTGAAATTAAGCAAGCGAATGAGCCAATTGGAGTAAAGTGCCATGTAGATTTAAATTTTTCCCACTTGTGACGAATGCAGCTACCGATTTTTTTTATTTTTTTTTTTTTGGGCATTCTAGCATGCTAGTTAACATTTGTGTCAGTCAGCTGTTGGCTCTCACGCTGGCCAATAGAATCTTCCTGCCTATTCGTGGCAGCCAGCTATAGGCTCTCACTCTGGCCAGTACAAAGTGGCCGCAAACTACATGAAAACTGCCGTAGAAGCATGAAAAAATCGATTATTTCCACTATCGATGGGAGTTGGGAAATGCAAAGTCGGTCTTGGCCTTCCCACTAACTTGGAGCATGTGCATGTAAATTCTGGTGCAAATCCGTCGAAAATTGCGTCCGTGCATTTGTAACACACACACACACACACACACACACACACACACACAGACACACACACACATCCTGCCTTTTATAGATAGAGATGAGTTATACACTTTATAGTAAATGCCATGACGCACTTATAACAAAAGAATTAATATATGACAAAAAAAACGCACAAAACTTATGTTTGAATTGTTGTTTAAATTGCTTACAACAGTGTGGTAGAATACATTTCCGTCCGGGTCCCAACCAGAGATCTAAGGTCAGAAATGACTTCATGATATTTTTCATTAATCATTTTTGTAAAAAATTAAAAAGCTGAAAGCTTAAGACTACACGCATTTTACCTAGATAAAGCTCATCCTAATGAGCTGTACTTGTGTGTACAGTCTTTTGTATTTCTTTAAGGCATGGGTTACCAGGTATCACTTCAATGAGTCTATCGGAACATTTCCAATCAATCCAAGGACTCCAACATTATTATTATTATTATTATTATTTTATTTCTGATGTTTACACATTTTTTTCGGATCCCAACCAGAGAGCTAAGGTCCTAAATGGCATCATGATATTTTCCACTGAGCAATTTTTGAGAAGAAAAAAAAACAGCAACAACAAAAAACAAAAAAGAAAACAAACAAACAAACACCTAAGATCAAACATATATTACATAGATGAAGCCCTTCGTAAGGTGTTGGCTGTACTTGTGAGCATAATTTTTTGTAGTTCTTTAAGGCATGGGCTATTAGAAATCCCTTCAATCAGTCTATGGGAACCTTTTTTTTCAATCAATCCAAGAGCTCCAACTTTATTATCATTATTATTGTGCTTTTCCCTTTGTTTGTGTAGTACGAGTTGCCTCCAAGCTGCAACCAGAGACACAAAGATTTTGTGTCAGAAGACGCAAACAGATGAGGTGCCATCCAATCAAACAGAAAAGAATATGCATCTGTAGTTACAGCATAAAGATAAATCTACACAAGATGTGAAAAGTAGACGCCATTATGATGTTTTACAATTCATATATTTTAGGGATGCCAGGAATTTATTCCACGTATTTGTTTGTTCTTCTTGATATCATTCCCCAAAATCCAATAACAACAAGTGAGGTTGTTGCCTGCAGATGCCACATTCTACTGATTTCTATCTCAAGGTCTTTATATTTACATAGCTTCTCAAACCAGTGATTTGTATTATGTAGACGAAATTATGTAATTAGCATTAATAGTAAAGTATTAAGAAAATAATCAAACCCTATAATTATTATCAATATCTTGTCAGTCCAATCTGGGGGCCTAATAAAGCTGACTGAAATACAAGCAGTAATAATAATTATGATTTTCCAAGCGAAGTTTAGATGTGACACAAAGCTGAAAGCTCACAGCGAGGATCGAACTCACTTGTAACTGTTTTAACGAGACAAGCTTGCTAACCACTACACCACCCCGATGTACCAAAAGCTGAAATAATAAGCATTTATTTACAAGTAGCAATAACTTTCAAGCAATAATATCCCGGTTTTTTATTAACGTTGCCGCAGAAACTGTAAATCTGTAATATATGGTAGAAACTTTGTTTTGGAAATTATGGGGTTATGATAAAGAATGGCGTCATTTTTTACGACACATATAGACTACAAAAGAAAGTCACAAGCGTCTTAGTGGCTTTCTTTGGGTTGAAATGATTAAAAAAAAATAACATTGGTTTTGTATTGTTTTTGCTGTGTCATCCAAAATTATTTCGTTTACGCCATGATTTATTTAAAAAAATCGCTTTTATCCATTTTCCAGCAAGCTGAGCATCAAAGTTGGCTGGAAAACATGGAGGCAGAAGAAAGTTCTACAAGTAAGATGTCTAAGAAAAGTAACTGTTAACATAGAATTTACCGTTGAATCTAACCATTTCAATTGTAAATTGATGAGACTTTGTTGTCAATCAAGTATTGAGCTTAAATTAAAGTCTAGATACCATAGCGGAAAGTTCAGAACGATTAACATGAAAATATTTACAGAAAACCACAGGGAGACCACATTGCGGTGGTGGGAAAGTGACTGAAGCCGAGATGCCAATAAAGAACAATAATATTGCGGATTATTTCTTGAGTTTTATCAAGATTCCCTAAATATATAACAGGAGCATCGAACAATATGTGGCTGCAATATTCAAAGCATGAACGAATGGTAGACCTATAAATATGTAAGAGATTCTGGAGAGAGAAATTCTCTAACACAACACACGGAGCAATCTTTTTTAGCAGCAGACCTATCAAGTGATTTAATATAATCTTTCCACCTAACGTCAATCGGAGAATCTACCCCTAGGCCGCCGTTGGGATAAAGGTGAATTTAAGCGTATTTATTTTTAGATAAACACCCCAGTGACTGAGAGAACTCCATTCATTTTATGGAGGAGTATTGCATATATATATATATATATATATATATATATATATTATTATTATTATTATTATATATATATATTACATATATATATACATATATATATATATATGAGTAAAATCATATATATATATATATATATATATATATATATATATATATATATATATATAAGTAAGAGTTTATAGTAGTTCCAACGAGATTATGTTATTTCAAGAAAATGTTCTTCACAATTTTATTAAAAATGTCATTCGAAATGTTATTCAAAATATATAAATCCACTCTCGTATGTTTGGGTTTTATTAAAATTGTAATCATCACTTTTTAAAATAATAAACGTTGCCAAGGAGTGAAGGTAGTTAAAATAATTGTGGGGATAAGGAAAACACCCTTTTACCAAGTTATCCTTTTGGATTAAAAATTTCTTAAAATAATTAACAAGTAAATATATATATATATATATATATATATATATATATGATTAAAAAATATATATATATATATATATATATATATATGATTAAAATTATACACACATATATATATATATGTGTGTGTGTGTATATATATATATATATATATATATATATATATATATATATAATTACATTAATCATTCATACAAAAACAAATATAGAGGTTAATGATTTAAATGGCGAGAATACATCTTCGCAAAACAATTTCAATAATGTACACTAACCCCGAACCTGTATATGAATGATATGATCCCTGTTTATAAATTCCAGTTGCATAAGGTCTTTTTTAGTTTTTACGAGCTTTCGTCTGTTCCTACAGACATCCTCAGGTATGGAAATAGATTTGTTCTTGTTTTTTACTTCTCGGTAATAAGAGGACGACGAAAATATAGATGTAATCCGAAAAAATGCTATGAGAAACGTGTTATTGTTTTGGAACGTGCCATTTAAATCGTTAACCTCTATATTTGTTTTTTGTATGAATGATTCATGTAATTATAAATTGAACTGCACCTATAATCGAAATATATATAATATATATATATATATATATATATATATATATATATAGTGGTTATAGTAGTTCCAACGAGAGAAAATATATATTAAAAAAATGAGAGAAACCGTAAACGTTTTTTTTTGTAATGTGGATTTGTTTTTTTAAATATTATGTTTTATTTTCCATAATTTTGCTACACGTGTTTCCAGTCTCGCGACGTTCATCAGGCAAAGGATTAAGATTTCCACATATTATTAAAAATAATTAATTTTTTCTCCTTTATGTTTTTCGATGTTAAATATTCTCGATATGAGACATTCTCTTTTTCGTGTGTTAGTGACCCAAATGTCTTTCTTGGACCCTATATATATATATTATTTTAATCATTTCACCTTAAGAAAGGTTATAAAACCACTAAGACAAGTGGTTCAGTGGCTTGCGTCTAACAATTTCAGCTGCAGAATGATGAGACCTTGTTGCCAATCTAGTACTGCGCTTAAATTCATAAAGTCTAGGTACCATAGCGGAAAGTTCATTAGAACAATTAACATGAAAGCATTTAGAGAAAAGCCATATGGAAGCTACATTACGGTGGTGGGAATGTGACTGAACCTGAGATATTACGTCAGGATCAATAATATTACTGATTCTTCTTTGGATTTTATCAAGAATCTCTAAATATATAACAGGAGTACCGAACCATATATGACAGCAATATTCAAAGCATGAAAGACTGGTAGACTTATAAATATGTAAGATAGATTTTGGAGAGAAAAAATGTCTAGTACGACACAGTGAACCAACTTTCCTAGTAGCAGACCCTGCAAGTGATATATCGAATCATTCAGAATCATTAACTATCTGTATATTTCAAAGGCAGAGCCGTGGCGTACTACCCCCGAACTCCTCGACCGGTGATGGAGGGCAAGCAGTGTTTTGTAACCTTCGCTAACTTATTAACATTTGCTTTTTTCTGCCTATATTTATATACGTTACGAATTAAACTAAGAACAGCTGTCTATTAAAGGACGAACAATTTTCGCTGTTCTGGGCGTTTTTTTTTTTTTTTTTTTTCTTATCGTTCAAATCTGTGAATTGTTTTTGCTCATGCTAAGTCTGAAAAATCAGTATATAAAATTCAATACTTTTGTCCATAATGTTGAAGGTGTTAAAATTATTCAACTTTTTAAAAAGAAAAATCTCAAGTTTATATTAAAAATCGCCACAAAACATTGTTGATTTACTTAAGACTGATTAATCTATCATGATATGTCTCTAATTTGTACAGTGTAACCCGGATATAAGAGACCCGGATATAAGAGAGATTGTCTCTTGTCCCAAATTAGAGCCTGTGTTAATGTATATAAAATAGACTAAACCCGGATATAAGAGAAACCCGGATATAAGAGACTTCTTCTCCGGTCCCGACAACTCTCTTATATCCGGGTTTCACTGTATTTAGATACATTGCATTTATTTTCAGTTTTTCCAGTTGAATCGTTTACCAAAATTGTATATGATCCATTATTGTACATAATTAGGTTATAATAAATTGTGTATTCTATATGCGTATTACCTTATAGAGTAATGGATAGCAGCTCGGATTGAGGAATCGAAGAGCCGAGTTCGAATTCCAGTCGAATCCATTACATTCACTTACGTGCTAATACCCTTGGGAAAGGTGTGAATCCTCTTCTTCTTCCCCCAACTATGGGTAAATAACAGGATAGACCGGGTTCTATAGCCTTGGATTGCAACTGGTCTACCGCAGATAGAAAAAAAATCTGCCTCGTACTGAAAGATACATGATCCCCTAAGCGTGTATCACGCATGGCACATAACTGACCTTATGAAAATTGAGATTTAGTAGAGTGGAGCCCCTCATAGACTCTTGGGGGGTGAGGGCTGTATGTTTTAAGTCCACAATGTTGCTCAAAGTCAAGAAATAAACCCAGAATCACTGACAGCGCTTATGTAGTAACGGGATGAAGTCAAAATACATTCCAAACATGAACAATGTTAGTAAAAGGAATTTTATCGTAAAAACCACCCTTAGGGGTTGAGTCATTGAATCAGAATATAAGACTAATCGCCAAAATTAAATCTCATGCTATGTTTAATGGAAAATACGACATTTGGGTCGAATGTGTAAGTGGTCGAAAAAGGCTAATTTGTTGTCAAGTTTTCTTAGAGTTATTCTTCGTAGACATGCAAGCAAAATATGTTCGACTGTGAGAAGTGACAGAAATAAACGTCGAGTTGATATTAATTTTACTTTTACGTGCCAATATAAAAAGAAAAAAAAAATGAACATATTAAAAAGAATGTAACCTTTACCTATACGGCACATTTATGTTGATAAGGCGTGATTTTATTCAACCTGTCAATATCTGTTTTATTTTGTTCTTATTTCACTCAGTCTCTTAATATGTATCTATCCCGGTCTGTTTACATCTATCTATCTATCTATCTATCTATCTATCTATCTATCTATCTATCTATCTATTTGTTTATATTTACCTCGGTATATTTCTATCCATCTATCTATCAATCTTCTTTTTTCTATCTATCTATCTGTTTGTTTATATTTATGTCGGTATCTATCTATCTATCTATCTATCTATCTATCTATCTATCTATCTATCTAAAAATCTATCAATCTATTTCGGTCTGTTTATTTCTATCTATCTATCTATCTATCTATCTATCTATCTATCTATCTATCTGTTTGTTTATATTCATCTCGGTATCTATCTATCTATCTATCTATCTATCTATCTATCTATCTATCTATCTCGGCATATTTCTATCTATCTATCTATCTATCTATCTATCTATCTATCTATCTATCTCTAAAAGCCGACTTCACGCTAGACCATTTCATACGTCCAGGTTACCAAAGAATACCAATGTATAAACAAAGGAATCCTAACTATAAAATATACACCACATCGGTTCTTGATAATGACTGCGAAAGTCGAAAGTAATCGAACAAAAATAACAAAATATGAACTTTGGACAGTTTATCCACAACTTCGAGCACAATACTCAACACATCCGGAAATTGGAAAAATACAATAAAAAATTAATCAGAAAGATGTTGTCGGTTCTTTTTAATCCTGCTTGTTTGAATATATATATATATATATATATATATATATATATATGGGTGTGTGTTATGTTAATCTCGGTATATTTCCATCTATCTATCTACCTATCTGCAAAAGCCATTACATATGCCTTCACGCGAGACCATTTCATACGTCCAGGTTAACAAAAAATACCAGTGTGTAGACAAAGGAATCCTAACTATCATATAGAAACCACATCGGTTCTTGATAATGACTGTGAAAGTCGAAAGTAATTGAACAAAAATAACAAAATATGAACTTTGGACAGTTTATCCACAACTTCGAACACAATACTCAACACTTTATCCGGAAATTGGAAAAATACAATAAAAAATTAAAGGAAAACCATGTTCGTTTTCTTTTTTAATAAAACTTATTTGTATATATATATATATATATATATATATATATATATGTGTGTGTGTGTGTGTGTGTGTGTGTGTGTGTGTGTGTGTGTGTGTGTGGACACGCCTTAGCTCACGTCGCAGAATATCAGCTTGGCTGATGCTAACTTGCAGGAGAGCAAACCATTGCGTCTTCTTGGACTCGCGTTTTCCAGAAATGGAGTGGTTATATTGAATCAGTTGCTAGGTCTGCCGCTATAAAAAAGTTCGCTGCCTGTGTCGCGCCAGACAGTTTTTTCTTGCTAGATTCCATCTTGCACATTTATAAATCTACCATATAAATCCGTCCATTGAATATCGCTGCCATAGCTGATTTGATAATCCGGGTACATATCACGACATTCTCAACAAAATCCAAAGAAAGGTTCTGTAGTGTGATCGATCCTGACCTGCTATCTCGAATTCAGTTACTTTCCCACCGCCCTGACAGAGATCTACTCTGTCCATTCAACAACAATCTTCATGTCAGTACTAGATTGGCAAGTAGGTCTCATCGATTTAAAGTTGAAATAGCTAGATGCAAACCATAAGTTCAGTTCTAATAGTTTCGCACTTCTCACTTGTGGAACTCACTTCCACAATACATCACCGTAGCTAACTACGAATTCCATTCTCTTTCTTCATTGGCTGTATAGTATGTCCCTCGCCAGGGTTACATGCCTGGTTTCGAATCCAAATCTGTTGCTCTCCTTGTGCTACCACTGCTACAGATCTAGTCTGCCCTACTATTTTTCCATCCTTGGAGGAAGAAGAGAAGATGTATCTATCTATCTGTTTGTTTATATTTATCTCGGTATCTATCTATCTATCTATCTAACAATCTATCTAAAAGCATTTGCGCGAATCTATCTATCTGTTTGTTTATATCTATCTATCTATCTATCTTACAATCTATCTAAAAGCATTTGTGCGAATCTATCTATCTATCTGTTTGTTTATATCTATCTATCTAATAATCTATCTAGAGCATTTGCGCGAATCTATCTATCTATCTGTTTATATCTATCTATCTATCTATCTAACAATCTATCTAAAACCATTTTTGCGAATCTATCTATCTATCTATCTATCTATCTATCTATCTATCTATCTATCTGTTTGTTTATATCTATCTATCTATCTATCTATCTATCTATCTATCTATCTATCTATCTATCTTACAATCTATCTAAAAGCATTTGTGCGAATCTATCTATCTATCTGTTTGTTTATATCTATCTATCTATCTATCTTACAATCTATCTAAAAGCATTTGTGCGAATCTATCTATCTATCTGTTTGTTTATATCTATCTATCTATCTATCTTACAATCTATCTAAAAGCATTTGTGCGAATCTATCTATCTATCTGTTTGTTTATATCTATCTATCTAATAATCTATCTAGAGCATTTGCGCGAATCTATCTATCTATCTGTTTATATCTATCTATCTATCTATCTAACAATCTATCTAAAACCATTTTTGCGAATCAATCTATCTATCTATCTATCTATCTATCTATCTATCTATCTATCTGTTTGTTTATATCTATCTATCTATCTATCTATCTATCTATCTAAAAGCATTTGTGCGAATCTATCTATCTATCTGTTTGTTTATATCTATCTATCTATCTAATAATCTATCTAGAGCATTTGCGCGAATCTATCTATCTATCTGTTTATATCTATCTATCTATCTATCTAACAATCTATCTAAAACCATTTTTGCGAATCTATCTATCTATCTATCTATCTGTTTGTTTATATCTATCTATCTATCTATCTATCTAAAAGCATCTGTGCGAATCTATCTATCTATCTGTTTGTTTATATCTATCTATCTATCTAATAATCTATCTAGAGCATTTGCGCGAATCTATCTATCTATCTATCTATCTATCTATCTATCTATCTATCTATCTATCTATCTGTTTATATCTATCTATCTATCTATCTATCTAACAATCTATCTAAAACCATTTTTGCGAATCTATCTATCTATCTATCTATCTATCTATCTATCTATCTATCTATCTATCTATCTATCTGTTTGTTTATATCTATCTATCTAATAATCTATCTAGAGCATTTGCCCGAATCTATCTATCTATCTATCTATCTATCTATCTATCTATCTATCTAAATATGTGTGTGTGTGTGTGTGCAAAAGAGAGAGCGGGAAAGAGGATGCTGAAAAGTTCTCGCCCTAGCTCCCTTTCCAGAATTATTATAATGATATTTAGTTATTAAAATTCATAGCTTCCCCTTTATCTGTTTTATCTGTCTGTCAGCATGTCTGTCTGTTTAATCCAGTGTATTCATATCTGAATTCAGCTTAAAACTAGTGTGTGTGTCTGTGTAAAATCTATATAAAGGAAACTTTTTTTTTTATTCGACCTTAGTCGAGATCGTCCAGTCCACATTTTAATGGCTCTATAATATATGCCTTGTCTGGGCTACACACTCGGGGAAGTTCTCTGATAAATAAAGAATTATCTCTCTACCGAAATTTTAATTAAGAACAAAACATACGTTAGTCAGAAGAAGAGGGAGTGGAAACGAGCAGAGGTTTGATATTGCCTTCCCCACAGTCTATTTCAATAGACTCGCAATAGAGTGAGATTTAAGGTTTACGCCGGTTTTAATCGGCACACGAACCGGTTGTAAATTCAAAGTCGTCCTTCTCCTTGATTGGCTGCCAACCACAGCTAGCGAGCTCTGTTCGTCTTGCTATTTAGCCCATCGCTGGAAGAAGATATGGCTCCATACATTTCCGAAGGTTTTATGTGCGAAAATATGTTACGAACTCTGATGGAATTCGAACTCGGGCCGCTGATTCCTCTTTCCGAGCTGCTAAATGTTACACTGCCCACACAAGTTTTTTTTTTTTTTTTTTTTTTTTTTTTGTGTGTGTGTGTGTGTGTGTGTGTGTGTGTGTGTGTGTGTGTGTGTATTTCCCCCTTTTTCCAAAATGGAACAAAAATAAGTGTGAGTAGGGGGAGAAATGATTACAGCTCTCAACCAGAATTAATTACTTTTATTGGCATTCTCCATGTGATCATTAAACGCACCTCAAAGAAGAGGATCTGATTTTGGCCTTTTATTCACTTCTTGCAACGCGTTCTGAAACTTTCTTGCGTGTCTCCAAAACATTTTCTCTAATTCGAGTTCAACTTTAAGACACACAGTCTATGTGGTTTCTGCTCCGGACTGGAAGATCGAACTTGCGTCAGACTGGCGTCATGCCATTTAGGCGTGCTTAAAAATGATTCAATATTTTCCTGTGTTGTTTCGCAACAATACAGAACGATCATAAGTTAAACAGCCAGATCTCAAAGAAGCGGAGTCACAGGACATTAATGTCCCATTGCACGCAAATATAGTTCGATAAATACGTGCGATTGTGCGTGTTTATAGGAATAAAGAAGAATTAAGGGAGTAGATAAAGACGCCATTATAATTCGGCCATGCTTTCTAAAAAAGAAAATTAAACAGGTTATTTTAGGAATTTACCAAGTTTATTATAATCACAATATAATCACAGTTGTTATTGGTGATATTATGCCCCGTAGTGTGACTGATTTGCAGATAGATAGATAGATAGATAGATAGATAGTGGAGATAATGATAAAAATGGAAAAGTTTATAAACGAGACGTTAGTTTGAACATTGAATCAATAAGAGTTAAGAAGACAATAGATAATCATATATATATATATATATATATATATATATATATATATATATATATATATATATGTTATACACTTACATTAGAACATGTAAGTTACATGTTCTAATGTAACTGTATGTACTTATTGTTCTAATCTTGTAATGAGCCTTGTTTTTATATTAATGTTTTGAACGTTTGAATTTTATTCTCCCTTCTTTTGCATTTGGATATATATATATATATATATATATATATATATATATATATATATATATATATATGTAAAAGATTATAATGTTGAAATCGCTACACAAAGACGTTCATGTTTCAATACTTTTGATTGTACTTCTTCAGGCGACGGTAAGTAACTAGGGATTAAATGATTTTTAAGAAAATTTTAAAACAAATTGTTACCTCTTTCTGAATTGTTACCGAATTGTTACCTCTTTTCTTTTTAAAATCATTTAATCACCAATTACTTACCATTGCCTGAAGAAGTACAATCAAGATTGAAACATGAATCTCTTTGAGTGGCGATTTCAAAAATGTTTTTTATTATAATCTCTTATAATAAAAATAATAATAATATATTGGTCTACTTTGTATTGAGCACTTTTTAAAAGTAAATACTATGGACGGTGATTTTTATTCCACCTGTTCTTTCTCTGCTTTGGATATATATATATATATCCAAATCAAGAAAAAAACAGGGGAATAAAATACCAAGATAGATAGACAGATAGATAGATATAATATATATATATATATATATATATATATATATATATATATATATATATATAGAGAGAGAGAGAGAGAGAGAGAGAGAGAGACATAGATATAGATATATAGATAGATAGATAGATAATGTTTTTCTATTCTTCTTAATTATTATTCGCTTAATTTTAAAAGAAATGCTTTGTTTATAAACTATTCCACTTTGTGTATATATATATATATATATATATATATATATTTCATCATTGTATATATATATATATATATATATATATATATATATATATATATATATATATATATATATATATATATATATATAAACTATTCCACTTTGAAAGTTGACAATCTTGCGTGTATATATTCGTGATTGAAACACCATTTTGAATCCTGAACAACTACTTAATTTGAATGCACATAGTCCGTTGTTTTGTAGGGGTGGGGTTACATTATTTGATCTGAATTAATTAAATTAATTAATAAGTCCTTTGTGATTGAGTATAATTTTCCATTCAATCGATACCAAGTAAATTATTGACTGAAATCCAACCGTGTTAATTGATTCAAATTATATTTCTAATTGGTAAGCGCACATTTTTGTTAATATAATTTTTTTTTTTAATCGCACGAATCAGTGACAGTGACTATGAAATCCTTTTAGAATTATTCAACTCGCTCTTTGCAAATCTGCTGGGAGGAAATTCCATTCGACAGCATTTAATGATGAATCCTTCGTATTTCGTTTGTCTTTTTGAAAGATACAAAATCAAAATATCTTCTGAACATGAAAATACTACTACTACTACTACTACTACTAATAATAATAATAATAATAATAATAATAATAATAATGCAATGCATCTTTAAAGATCTTCAAAAAAATTATCAAAATACAAGGATCTTGAAGTGGAAATCTTAAAAATGTGGTACGTGAGGGATTTTGTTTTTAATCCGACGTATTTTATTGATTTTAACGTTGTTTTTTTTTTTGTTTTTTTTTTTAACATTTTTATTATTATTATTTTTTATACCCGTATTTGAGGGTAAATGGAATTGCTTGATTGTGAAGCACTTCGTAGCCGAGTGATCAAAGCACATCGGATCAAAGGGGCACAGGTTCGAATCCATGCCAGAGGGCGCATTTCCTTTGACAAACATTCTCGAATGTGCAGGCTGGTAAACGAAATACAATACACGTGTGTGTGTGTGTGTGTGTGTGTGTGTGTGGATATATCGTGTGTGTGAATATTTAAAGAAATTCGAGAGATAAAAAAAACACAAAAATAATAATATTTATTGTACAGGGTGTTTCAAAAGTCAATGTCATATTCTAAGAAGCAGAAATGTTAGCATAACTGAACCGGTGCCAATTAAAAGCGTCAAGTTTTCTTCTGTTAATTTAATTAATTAAATTTAATTTTTGAACACCACTTTGTCTGACAGATGGAATGGACGATCCGCGTGTTCATGCGATGGTCACCTAGATCTCCAGACCACACGTCATGTGATCTCATGTACGTACCTCTCCTTCCCAGAGACATGGGTGATCCGAAAACGCGAATAACTGAAGCCTTGGCAACCATCAACAACGATATTCTTGGTCACGTTTGGCAAGAATTGGATTATTGTTTGGATCTGTGTTGTGAGACCGGCGGCGCTCACATTAAACACCAATGAAAGCCTGTATAGAAACGTAGAAATATTAGCTTTCAGGAAATATAAATTGTCTTTTGATATCGTCAATAGTTATTAAGGTATTCAGTGTCGTTATGTGACACAGACTTTTGAAACACTCTGTATATTAGTAAGCCTTTTAGCCAAATGATAGCAGAATGAGAAAAGATATTAAAGATTGAAATCTTCGGATATGCATGTGTCCTTTCTCAACGAGAAATAAAAATGAAGTGGGCCTTTTTTGTGTTACAGTTTTTTTGAATATATCCATGTACTAGTGAGCCAACCAAAATGAGCTGACTCATTTTATAGTCCACCATAGTTAACCAATCAGAAAGCTCAAAATATTCAATCCGACGTGTATAAAGGCAGCCATTTTGTTTTTTCTCCCAAAATATCTTCACTGCCAACCTCTGATATCGAAGACTTAAAGAATTACTTAACAGCTGCTACTTTCTCCGAATCTTCACTGCCAACCTCTGATATTGAACACATTACGGACTTCACTGGATTCTATATTCACAGACTACGGCAAACATGGTTAACATTTTTTTTGGGGGGGTAGGGATGTAATCCAACTGACCATAGTATCGATAACGTTAGATGCGTTCTTTAAACATCAGTCTATATTTCTGAGATGAGGTATTATGCACACTATTTACATTATTCGGACTATTGTCCTCATCTTTGTCGACATGTCTGTCACAACGTTTCTGCCGTTGTACGCTCCGGCCTACTTCAGGTGTTTCAGTTCGACGTTCCTGAAGAAGGCCGGAGCATACAACGTTGTGATAAACATGGCGACAAAGATGAGGACAAAAGTCCGAATAATGTAAATATCATCCTTTAAGCGTTTTCATATAAATACCAAAACGAACGCAGGAAGACCGAGTTAAAATAATTTTTTTTAAATTCACACATTCTCAAATTAAACAGGAATCTCGGCTTACTCAAAGAATACAGTTGCCATAAGAAACCATTTACACACTCTCTACAACCCTAATAGTGGGAAACAACTAGGCCCAAACCACTAGATCTCATCAGTAACACATGCGACCTCCAACTCTGAAAGCACCACTTCATTTTTTATTTAGCCTTCACAAAAGACACAGGCATGTCCGAAAATTCTGATTTTTTACATCTTTCTCAACATTCCACCATTCTATCAAAATAACGATTAATATACAATGAATATTATTAGTCTTATTATCAATGTTATTAATTTTTGTTGTTTTCTATATATACTTATTATAAGAAGCATACGTGGACAATCTTTATTCATATATATATATATATATATATATATATATATATATATATATATATATTTAAGTTAGAAAAAACTTGGTAATCCGTATGGGTAGTCCCAAGGAGGATGAAATTCTGAGAGCTCAATGTAAATTCTGAGCTAATATCTATATATATATATATATATATATATATATATATATGTGTGTGTGTGTGTGTGTGTGTGTGTGTGTGTGTGTATGACGAAATATAGTTTTAAGGTGTGCTACATTTATGTGTTAAAGTGCTCAATATTTCAGGAAATACATTATAATCGAATGGATTTTTAAGGATCGACTGTACTCATTACTGAATTGCTCTGTTAGTTGCATTGAACTTTCTTTGGATTAATGTCCTCCTTAGAATTATCTACTAATTTTCAATTATATATATATATATATATATATATATATATATATATATATATATATATATATATATATATATATATATATATATATATATATATATATATATATATATATATATATATATATATATATATATATATATATATATATATATATATATATATATATATATATATATATATATATATATATATGATAGTGTAAATGGGGCGCACCCTGAATCTGTGATGTGCCCCCACCTCCTCTACTACATCTCAATTTTCATAAGAGAATATTCAATAAGATCAAAATTTTATTGTAACCCAATTATGTACAATAATGGATCATATGCAATATAGGTGAGCAATTTAGCTAAAAAAAAAATTGGAAATAAATACAATGTATCTAAATGCAAATTACAGAAATAATAGATCATTACATCTTAAATAAATCCACAATTGTTTTGCAGCAAATTTTAACATCAACTTGAGATTTTTCATGTTAAAAAGTTGAATATTTTATTTTATTATGGACAAAAAAAAATACTGAATTTCATAAATTGTTTTTTTGAGACGTAAAACGAACAAAACAAACTCACAGATTTGGAAAAAAAAAAAAAAATGACAGACCCCCAAAATGACGTCAAAATCTGCGAAATTTTAATCGTCATCTAATCGTCAATTGTGCCTAGTTTAAAATGTAGCATATACGAATATAGGTGGGGAAAAAAGTGAATGTTTACGAGATAGCAAGGGTCACAAAACACTGAGCGGAGCGCACAGTTGGGGTAGTCCGCATCAGCCCTATATATATATATATATATATATATATATATATATATATATATATATATATATATATATATAAATATATATATATATATATATATATATATATATATATATATATATATATGTGTGTGTGTGTGTGTGTGTGTGTGTGTGTATATATATATATATACTTCAAACGTTATATTTCGTGATTCTATTTTCCTTTTTAAGGATGCACAAATTCTCGTTCAGATTATTCTCGATAGAGCCCCGTATGCGAAACTTAAAGAAAACAATTTCTAAAGAAAATTATTTTTATTTATTTTTAATTTTTATTGCTTCAAGTATTGTTTACAATGTATACTCGTGATTGAAATAGACGCCTTCTCCATCAATATTTCTAGAGTGCACATGCCGATAGTTAAGATATACACATTTGAAATAATAAAAATATCGGATTAAAAATAAATCCATTATTCTTTTATATATACGAACATATATATATATATATATATATATATATATATATATATATATATATATATATATATATATATATATATATATATATATATATATATATATATATATATATATATATATATATATATATATATATATATATAAGAGTTAATAGTATTTGCAATTATCCTTTCTGGTCTTTTGAAAAGGAGTAGTGGTTTATCCCTTGTTTCTTGTTTAGGATTGGCTTTCCGGTTCTTTCAGAAGTTTTTCTTTCTCTTTTGCATCCAGGAGTCCTTTTCATCTTAGTGTCAGTATCGCCTTCTTCGATATATATATATATATATATATATATATATATATGTTTGTAGGTATTAATAAGTAATAATTTATTTTACATTTTATCTAGAGTACGTTACCAAGGAAAAAGCGCTATTAGAAAATGTTTAATGAATTATGATTTTATTCGGCTAATGTTGAAATAATTTTATATATAAAATACAGATATTGTTTGTATTATATTACTCACACGCTCTTGAACAGGCAAACATGGTTTCAAACAGGTGTGTTTATGTGTATATATAACTGTGTTTATATATAATTAAGGGTATAGATATATGTCTGTTTGTCAGCCTGTCTTAATCAATAGATAGATAGATAGATAGATAGATAGATAGATAGATAGATAGATAGATAGATAGATAGATAGATGAGAAAAAGAAATAATTAAATATCTATCTATCTATCTATCTACTCAGTAAACACTAATGTCTTTGTGGCTTAGGACGAAATGATTAATAATAAATAAAGATAGATAGATAGATAGATAGATAGATAGATAGATAGATAGATAGATAGATAGCATCTGAGATAGTTTGTATGGCATTATTCATTACATGTTTCAGTAATAGCATAGGTATACAGAAAATTATAGACATGCACATTACCCTCAGAATTCATCATTCATATATATATATATATATATATATATATATATATATATATATATATATATAAATATATAAATACCTATATGAATATCGTTTTCCTAGACACACATCTGAAAAAAATCTTTTTTTTTGTGTAAATAAAAGAAAAACATAAGACATTTTTGGAAAGGAAATATTGAAGAAAATAGAATTAAAGGAAAAAATGAGCAATTTTTTATATCGCTTTTTTTAAAACAATTCGACATGGGGTTAGTTTTTTATATAATTGACAAAAAACGTTTTTCCTAACATTGAAGACGTAAAAATATTGTCAGAAGAAGGATATGTGGAAATAAGAATTTTTTTTTTTTTTTTTTACTGGCGTCTGGAAGAGATCTTTTTTTTTCTTTTTTATTTAATATTTCAAGTGTCTTGCCCTGAAGAGAAATTGGAATCCATACATTAACGATCTATTTATAAAACTGTCTATGCAAAGTAATGTATAGTTCACTTATTTCTACAAATATGCATACATATAAAATATGTATATTTTAGATGTGAACTTGAATATTATATATGGGTTTATACATTTATATGAATGTAAATATATGGCGGCTGTCCACTCACTTATGCGGATAACTATATCTAGCTCAAAACTTTATCTATCTATCTATCTATCTATATATATATATATATATATATATATATATATATATAGATAAATATATATATATATATATATATATATATATATATATATTAATTATTTAAAAAAAAAATGTTTGCATTGCGACACAGAAATTACTATGCTTCAGAACCAAAACTCTACTGTGTATCGAGCACTGTTTTTTAAATATATATATATATATATATATATATGTGTGTGTGTGTGTGTGTGTGTGTGTGTGTGTGTGTGTGTGTGTGTGTGTGTGTGTGTGTGTGTGTGTGTTTTCGATAAAACTTTGGCATACACAATATATAAATTTATTCCCGCATATAAGCATATTTGTGCACGGGTCGTTGCTGAAAACTACACACAAACACACGCATATATTTCAGCATATATATATATATATATATATATATATATATATATATATATATATATATATATATATATATATATATATATATAATGCAAACAACGCGATATTTAAATCTGAAATATTGAAACCGATAACAAAAAAAAAAAAATTATTGTTTGT